ATCATTGGATGGGCTGAAAGACTCTTACTTCTCCAAGAAGGCCAAACAACTTCGGTACCATCCATGCGAACGCAAGCTTCCTCAAAGTTAGTTCCATCATGGTACAGACCTCTCATACCCCAATGTCTTGGGCTAGAGCTACCAGATCTAACCGTTGGAAAACCCCTCTGTTTCCTTGAGTCACTTACAGGAGATGGTGGTGGTGGACGTGGAGCTCGTGGAACACACAGCACAACTGGTGATGGGGGCCGTTTGATCCGAGGTTGCTCCCGCCTAGTGGGAGGAACACAGGGGCTCTTATGATCATGACCACGCTTAAAGTCAGACCTTGATCTCTCCCTTGATATGTTTGGAATGATTATAGGACGCAAAATAGGGTAAGGAAGTGCATCCCCTGTTTTCCCTTCAACATCACTAGATAAATTGGGCAAAGATCCAGAAGCTTCCTCCTCTGTTGCCACATCAGGTGTGGGTGATGGAGAATGCAGTACTTTGCCAGGCACTTCAGTTCCTGGCACAACATAACTAACTGCCTGGTGTCCAGGACCCAAAGGCTCAAAAGGGGAACAAAATGGAGCAGCAGTTGGAGAAGTCAAACCATTTGTACTATAAGATGAAGAAAAAGCAACCATGTCATCAACAGCCCTACTCATGTCTGCTTCATGCCAAGCCCATGAGCTATCATCAGAGCTAAGGGATGGAGGTCTAGAAAAACCCGTCCCTGGATGATCAGAAGGATTCCAATACATCACACCCCCACCAAAGTATTGATTATAATCTATACCAGAAACTGCATGCACCTCAAATTCTTCCTCTGATATCCAGTGGCTATCACATTCATCGGCGAGTTCTGCTGTATTTGCCAGATCTGGCAAGTCAAAGAAATCCCCAGAATACTTTCTCTCATCATCAAGGTTCTTTGTATTAAACTGGAAATTTTGAGAAGCAAAACTCTGCTGAAAAGCTGTCTGTCGCCTTGAGATAAATCCAGAGTCATAATTGCAAGTAATTGACGGCGTCAATCCAGAAGCACTACGAACCATAGGGGGCCAATCTAAACTCATTGGCATTCGGCGAGTTAAGATCCGACTGCACCCACTTTCAATCTGAGGATTTCTTGCCTGATGCATGGTGGGCACAAAAGGTTGGCGGATGTGATTGTGCCAATTGTGACCAACATCTAGGTGCAATCTATCAGTAGCAGCTGGAACATGTGAATTTATGGAAGGAAAATAAAAGGGAGCTACACTAGGCCACTCATATGAAAGGCATTGAGGAGAGCCTGTGGGTGCAGTATTATAAAGTTTTTTATCTTGCACCTGAATCACAGAAACTTCCTCTTTAACGTCTAGTGTATTCACTGATGCATCAGGAGAAGTCGAATTTTCCTGAATTTTACTTGCACTATGAGAATTTTGTATGTTGATGCCTTCACCAGTGAAAACACTATCAGATTCTGGCACAGGGATAATCGGAGGCAAAAGATTACATTCTACCCTACAATATGAATCCTCTTGTCCGGTAAGAATAAATTCATTCTCAGTTACATCTTTCGAGTAATCCTCTTGTCCAGTGGAACCATCCTCAGGATCTTGTACGTGCATGGCAATTCCCTCCCTGAAAGGCTGATTATCTGGTCTACTAGGACATGAATTTGATTCAAGGACGTTGCTCTGGCTTATTGTATCAGTTGGAATGCCCTGTATATTTAAATTATCCAATACACCATTGGAATTTGTTGCCTCATCTTGAAAAATAAAAGATGAAGTGGAAGCCTCTGTGACTGCCTTCTTGGAAGTTTTTACTTCAGTTATATCATTGATGCAAGAGCATTTGTATTTATTCTTTTCCTTCCGACTCTTCCTTGCAGCAGCTCGCCCTTTTCCACCAATCAATGATTGGGTATGTTCCTGATAACAGAGTACCAGTTATGCAACTATTTAAAATTTAAATAACTAACAAGAAAATACCATCCAAATGAAAAGCTGTGTGACCATTTCCATTTGTGACGGAGTTTTTCTGTTAACATCTTTCCCATGAGGTGTAACAGGCATCTTGCTGGACTCCTTCAAATCTGCTTTCTTATTATTAGTTGATACAGATTCAAGATCCTGACATATTACTAGAAACAATTAAAATGAAATTTCTCAACACATATAAATGAATGCAAAAACACATCTAGAAGGGTTTCAATATAAAGGAAAAAGTACCTTGAGAGGTTTTTCTGGCGGAAGGTCATCCACCTCTGTCTTCAGCACAGCATTTTGCTTTTTTATGTTTCGGGACCTGCCCTTTTTCTTGCGGCTACATGCACTGAACTTATCCTTGGATTTATCGGATGAAGAGTTAAAATTTCCTTCTCCGAGAAGTTCAAGTTTTGTGCAATCAAGTGAAATAACCATGAGAATGCCTCGCAGTTTTCTTAATATACTATCAGCAATGGTACTTATAGAACCTAATGCACTAAAAAACACCTTTCCCATATCACACTTATTATGATATGATCGCACTAAAGTAACAATATCCTGAAGCACAAATAAACTACTGAAGACATTGGTTAGGGAATTAGGTTTTCCAAAATGAGAACCTGCTGTAATAATTATGCCAAATTCTGCATCCTCCAGGCGTTTTGGGATGGTACCCTGCAGTGGTTCACCATAATTGTACCTCATTGGTTGTTCTGCTCCTGCACTGAAAAGCCACATTTCATCCTCTGAGGCACTACCTGCTGCATTCAGAACCTCAAGAATCTGGAAGCCCAAATTAAATAAAAAGTAAGCCTCATAGTTCACAAAATTTTCAAGGGTATTGAAAATAGATATTAATTGTCAAAAATTACAAATGATCCATGTGCGAGAAATCTTTAAAAATATTCTATATACATCACATTAGTAAATCAAACTAAAGAAAGATCCAAGCATAACACATTGGAGCAACACATACAAATTTATCCCTGTATACAAGATTACAGGTGAAGCCCCAACAAGATAAAAGAGGAAACTATAAAAGGAAGGTAGAACTACAATTTATGGTTCTTCTCAGCTCTCAGAACAAGTTTATATAATTAGTTTACCCTTAACCAGCCCACCATGTTTGAATCTCCTCTCTTTTAACAACAGAAATTACTCCAGAACTCAACCAAAACAGTAATTTTAGTCATTAATAACCAAATTAAAACAGGATTCATAATTCACAAAAATTCTCCTTTTGTTGACCATACCTAATAATGGCAATGTCATACAATAAAAAACATCATTAAAATGAGCATTGGGATAACAAAGTTCTAAACAATACCAGGGATTTAGCAGCTTTTCCAATAATTGCTGTCAATACTTTCCTCCTTGTTGCATCACCCAAATTTACCCACCAGTCCACGCATCCTTTCTTCCTCCAATACACATTTGCCGCTACCCCTGCGGCATTCACCTTCTCTTTCAACTTCACCCCTCTTCTCTTCACATTATGACTATTCAACCACGCTAACCTCAACGCCACCTCTAATCTATTTACCACAAAAGCCTCTATACTATAATACCCTTTTGATTTTAACCACTCTAATTCAATCCAATACGATCCCAACTCGCTCTCTTCCCCTCTCAGAAACGCACCGTTCGATACTTTATCCATGGTTTCAACAAACAGTTCCACATTTTCAACGAACCCTTCAGTCACCGTCATCGAATCGAGACTACTCACCGAACACGAACACTCGTCGATTTTTTCACCTTCTCTGGATCCGAACAACTGAACCGACTCGAAAACCCGACGTTCCGACACGTTGGACTCGGCAACCCTAGAGAGGAGGCCGCGTGATTGCTTGTAACAGAGGCCGGGGAGGAAGGGAGGATCACGTGAGGGAAGGTCGGGGAGAACAATGAAGAAGCCGTGGCCACGCGTACGGAGCTTCCCCAGCATTTGGATGAGGAGCTGGGTGAACTTGAAATCGACGGTGGTGAGGTAAGCTTGACGTTGATGGACGGTGAGAGCTGAGAACCATTTAAGGATTAAAGACCTCGGATTGTTGTTAGGGTTAGGGTTGGGATTTTGGGAGAGGGAATGGGAATGGTAGAGGGAGATATGAGAAGTAAGTGAGTCGATGACTTCGTTCTGAGCCATGAGCGAGTTGGTCGGCGATTTGGATAACTGTTTGCGAGGGAAATTAGGGTTTGATTGGGGCATTTCTTTTGGCTTTGTTTTTTAATTTTTTTTTTCTTGGTCCGTCTGCCTCGTCGGATTTTCTTCTGCAGCAGAAGAACAAGGAGCTTAGACAAGAATGTAGGAGAGAGGAAAATGGCGAAGACAAAGAGACGTTTGAGAGAGATTTGCGGGTAATGTTAAAACCAGGTATCCGGATCCGGTTTCTCACATGCGAATATGTTGCGGTGTCTTTTACTTTAACTGACTGCTGACTGCTGACTAGTAAATAAATTCCACGTCAGCACCTTTCCGCCGCATTTTGAGACATACTTACGAGAAAAGACATTAAATGGTTGGAATTTTGAAGACAAAGACAAAGATAATGATAAATAAAGTTTAAATAATCTTTTAATTGTAATAAAAATTTACTATTTTTAGACTTAATGCCCGAGCTTATGTAATAAAAAACTTCACATTTAATTAAATTATCATTTATTACGTAATCACATCAATTTATCCAATCATATTTTACATAAGAAGAAATAAATCGGTTGGTATGACATATAACAACCAATAAATTTTTATTATGATTAAGAATTTATTTGGATTTAAATAAAGTTCAAAACTCATTTAAATGTAATAAAAGATAAAAATTAATTAAATAAATTTTCATAATACAAAGATTTTCTTTAGATTTGAATCAAATAAAATTTAATATTTGACGTTTAAATTGTTTGTATCTAAACCTTTTCTGTACTTTGAAGTGTGCATAATTTTGTTACGTTAATCCAAATTTTAATTATGAAATAAAAAAAAGACAACTTCTTCATCTGCTCTAATTTTGTATATGATCTCTACTAATGGAAGGCCAGCTCTATCATGCTGGACTTGAAGCCTATGAGTCGGGTACTACAACCATTTCCCTGTCAACACCAACCTTCAAGTCCAAGCCCATCACCGACTCCCACAAATAAACAGAAGGAAGTCTGGGATCCCAATCGTTCACTGTCTCACCCCAAGTGCAAAAGTTACGGTTTCTGTCATCCAAATATCCTGTTTGGTTCAATGGAACATTGTATAGTTCTTGGTTTCTACACTACCGCCATCAAATCACTTAGAAAGAAGAAAAACATGAGCAAAACAGGCACAAGAAGAAGAGATTACTCAGAGAATTGTCTTTGCCGATATGGTTATAAAAACCAGCTGTAATTACATGCCGAGATATAGAGATATCGGGCACAGACATTAGAAATTGTGAAGCATTCCTACCTTATGGACTAATGCATATTTCTTCAACTCTACATCAGAACCAAGAATCAGTTCAAGTGAATAAGACTTCCAATCTCTTTGTCTGTACAAAACTGTTACCAACATCACTTGCCAACTAGCAGAACACAAGGATTTTGTTAACCTTTCAACCCACAAATTCGTCCGAGGAAAAATCGATGTCTACCGGTGCACCCCTTCTAAGTTTTTCTTGCAAATCCATCTGCTTTGGTAAAACAATTTCAATGTCCTTACCAGACATGGCAAAGTATCTCTCTAGTAATATCTGCAAAGATCAAAATAAAGAGGGATAACAAAACAGAAACGACCTTGATTCAAATTCGATAACCTTCTTCACGAAACAAACAAAAATTACAACCAACATATGGAAAATGTGAGAAAGCTTATCACATACCACAGCAGCATAAGCATCAGAGCTTTTCTGGCGAGCAGACTTGCCAAGGCCCCTGGAAGAGAAATGAAAGAATTATGTTCTAGTGAAATGTATCAGACTTGTAACAATCAACAACAATTTTTTCAGCACAGGGTAATATCAAATTGCAAAAACTGCTCAAGAGAACAGAAGTAAAGTACAAGTTAATCATTCGGTATGCAGCTTCTGTGGATGTCCCATGTTCATCTTGCAGATACACTCTCCAACCCCTGCAAACATTATTATACCAACAAATAGACATATCAAAAGCTGAAAACAAGTGGCTTTTTTATGCAAATTATGTCCATAGCAAATCGTTCCTTGAGAAGTTTTAGGCAGAACTAAGCAAATCGACAAACAGTAAGAGGATATATGTAAGATATTACCTCTCCGCAGCTCGAACAGCTAGCCTTCCTGCAATGCTGCGAACTTTGTTAGATTGAGGAGTCTCCTTTGCATCCCAAGATTTAGGAAGCCCAATTATGAATTCATCAGCCTCCTACAAATTTCCTCTCCCATTAGGGCAAAATTTGAGTGGAAAGCTTTCAAGTAAAGCCAAAAAGCAATTCATTAATACAAAAGAATACCTCATTTTCTGCTATCTCGAGCAGCTTTAGCTCAAGCTTTTGTCCTCTCAATTTCAAAACCTGGAAAGATGAGTCAGAATTAACAACAGCGTAGAACATAAAAACCCAGAAAAGCTAAAACGTAACAATTTGAAAGAGGTTTGTTTGCTGACAATAAATTTACCGTGAGAGGACGAACAGAGAAACCTTTGCTAAGGGCAAGGCCGGTGCGGGAGATTCCCAAGTCTACCCCTAGACTGAACCCTCCTCTCCATTGCGGATTGCTCTTCCGGTGAAGGGCATTCGGGGGAAATTCTTGGACAGGCGAGGACGAGGCCCTGAATTTCAGCTTGAAAATACAGGTTGACGTAGAGAAAAAGGGGAGAGAAGATGGGGATTTAGAGAAGGTTGGGTAAGAGCAGGTTCCGGATAGATTGAGGAACGGCTGTGGTTGCAGTTGCAGTGAACACATTAGAGATAAGACTAAACAGGCAGAGCTTCGAGTTTTCCAACATCAAAGCTGATCAGTACGAGGTTGGATAAGTCATTTCGTATGTTCAGATTACAAGTACAAACAGTTCTTTATTAGAGGTAAAATCAAAATGAATTACAAGAAAAATTGTTACAGAAGTTGATCTAACCGCGTAAATGTAAGTTCAACAAATCAAGATACAATAGGTAATTAAAAATTATCGTACGAGCATGTGAAAAGTATGAACTCGTACATGCTCCTTGGATAATTTATAGGTCACATATTCTATGTTGATTTGTCGGACCTATGATTGACATGGAAGAAAAAACCTATATAAACAAGTTATTCTACAAGAGTAATGCTACTCATCCTCCACTTCTATCCCTCTTGATATGGCACTAATTTATTGTATACATTCAAGATGAAAACGACCAATACAATTATGATTAAGAATTTTCAAGTTGAACCAATATATCATTGCCACATTAAGAGGGACAAATAGCATTTTGCTCAACCTAGTAGGCTATTTATTTTGCTCCTCCGGATCATCCTCCACTTCCTCTTCAACTGGCTCCGAGGAGACTGTTTTACATTCCGTTCTGGTATCTTTTTCTGATGTTGATGACAGCAATGGCTTGCCTCCGGTGGCTAGATATTCTGCTGTTGCCAAGATGGGGCTATCCATGGGAGGACTGACTGCCTTATTTTCCAAATCTAAAGCTCCATCCTCGGCCTTAAAATCAGTTCTTGCGCGAGGTGGAACCTCAAACTTAGCAGTGAAACATTGTTGCTGACTCACTTCATTCTTTTCAGGTTCTGTCGTTTGACTCTGTGTTTTGTTCATTCCTGCAAGTAGTGAAGCTTCAGACTTTTCCACACTAGATTGCTGCCAAGTTTCAGCTTCTACCTTAACGGCTTCTCCCCCTCTCACTTCTGATGTGGCTAATGAACCTTCAGTAAACTTATGAGGATAATGGTTTTCAGAACTTGATAATGGTGTACATGGTGGTGCTGATGTTGCTGCCAGTAGAGGTAACTGAGGGGCTGCTAACCCTGGGACTTGGGCTTGACTAAGGACGTAAGTCAACAGCTGAGCTAAAACAACTTGTGGGTCAGTAACGCCTTGTTGAATTTGAGGGATGAAGGAAGGTGATGAAACATTAAAATTAGGTGGATAAAGTGCTTGAAGTCCTGCTTCTCCATATAAAGCCCGGTGCCCGTGAAACCTCTTCAGATTTGCAATGTGCTTTTTACCAGCCAAATGGCTGTTAAAAACCACATGTGATTCACACTTGACATTGCACAACTCACACATAAAAGGAATACCCCCATTCGGTTTGGGAGGCTCAACAGGTCTTCTAGGTCCTTCATTACCTTTCATACATTTACCCCCTCGTCCCCCTCTCATCTTACGCTTGAAACCACGTCCCCGAGCTTCAGAGGCATCCCCTAGTTTCCTTTTAGCTTTTGCAGAATCAGTAGTTGATGCTTCAGAGTTATTCACTATGTCTTTCTGCTGCTCAGTTTCTTTCTTACTGTCATTGGTAACAGCCATGGAGGGTGAAGTTTCCTGTTGATGTTGTCCCTCAGATCCCTCAACTTTCTCCAATTGAACAACTTCGGATCCTGAATTGGGCACTTGCACACTTTGCTGTCCAGTTATGACTTTGTTCAGCTTCTGCAGCTCTTCATGTACCTGCAAGTTTTTCTTATGTCGCTTTCCATTCTTATGCTGCTCCAGGATTTCTGGCCTGTTGCAATCAACCCTGCACAGTTCACACCAAGCCATACGTGGAGGTGGCCAGAGTGGAGCAGCAGGCACTTGAGTTGGTAATGCAGCTGTAGGTGGCATTACAGCAGCTGCACCACTTGGATCTACAGAATTTGGAATTGCTGATGTCACACCATTTGGAGGAAAGTGCCTGCTGCCACTGCTGCCACGACCCCTATTATATGGAGGTGCAGAGCCATCTGGTCTGAGGCCGCGGTTACCAATATGACCCCGGCTGCCCCCTCTAGAAGACCTACCACCCCTTCTTCCACCCCTAGATGCAGGTTGCATCTGTAGAATAGATTTGAAGATGAGGTGCAACATGAAATCACATAGGTACTAAATTGACAAGATCAAATTAACATCAGAATAATAAGGTTAAATACATTCTCAACAGAGTAACATAAATTAAAACCGATCACACAGCTGTAGCAACATAACAGAAAATAGACAATGGACTTACAAGTTTTGGCAACATGCTGATGAATTGACCTTATAATAAATCAGACAGATGACAAGCTTAAGACTCAGATGCAATAAATTGTGACGGGTTTTGGACAATATCAAAAACAAACAGCACAACAAGAGAAATATCCACTATTTAATGCACACAGCAATCATATTAAGCTTACAGAACATGAGCCTGTGAATAAGCCGAAAAATTAAAGCTACTAAAGAATTTTTATCAAAGAATTTGAATTGGGACTACAACAATACTTGTAAGAATGTTCACCCAAGAGAAAACTCTGAGAAATCATGTATAACGCATGCATAAAAAGGTCTATGCACTTTAATTAAACAAAAATGCTATAATGTACACAAAAGCAAATATTTCAAGAAGGTCAGAAAGAAGAAGAAGACAAAAGATTAAGCTGTTCAAAGTCATAGGCTAGCTTGAGACTTCCACAAGTAATTTTGGCACACTTCACACTAGTTATTAAACAACTGATCCTATTCTCTCTAGATCTATATCAAACAACAAAAAACTTGAAATTTCTATACAGAACACCCAAATTTGTTATCTCTATCCATTTCTGGAGCACCGAAGACTGACTAAACATATGTGATATTCCGACTATCAGTGAGAAGAAATTGAATCATATTTAATATATAAAAGCAGTGACACTTCTGTTTAGAAGGGACAGGGTTATCCAAAGTAAAACATCAAGATGGCTCAAGAATTTAAGTCCTCCAATGATCTGGGAAATATAATTTCTTAAAATTACAAAATTCAGCTGCTTTCTCAGGCACAACTAGATTTAAGAAATTTAAAACTAACACTCAGAAGTGTTTGGAAAAGCCTTTTGTTTAATATAGTTGTGTAACTTCCCTTCTGTAAAGTGTTGAGATGGCATCACCATAAACGCTATAATTACTTTTAACTGAGAGGACCTTACCATGGAGATAAAGTCATATAAATAAGAAAATGGCAGTCGCTATGGTTCAATAGTCAGGGAATCTTGGGGCCAAGGGGGGAATAATACAAAGGAAAGACCCACCAGAAATTCTATGCCAAAAGATTATCAAAGTGCTCCCCATCTAAAGGTTGGTCAGTATCAAGACAGAAGGTGATCTAGCAATCCTCGAGAACTCCGAATTTAAAAAACTGGCCATGGATTCGATGCTTACCTAAGTCCAACAAGAAAACTAAAGAAATTGAAACAGTGCATCAGTAAACAATTGCCACAGAATGTAGCACATGGTAATCAGATGAAAAAGAAAAAACAAGAAAAGTGCCACATCCTTTAACTACTTGGGTGCCAAATGACACAGTTGAAAATTGCCACACAGTTAAGCAGTGGAAAAAGCAAAGAGCTGGCTCAGTATGATTATAAATATGAGCCATGGACTAAACCAAATGATAGCAATCAAACCCAACAGTGCTGGTTAACAAAATATTGAAGTTCTAGCACACAGAAAAGTTTGGGAATGAAAGATATCACTTGATTCAACAGAGCACATCAGCAAAGGGTGCTCTCAGGCCACATGAGCCCTAAAGCAACCAGTAAAGACCCATCACTATTCATCCATAACATGACACCCAAAGGTACAGCCACAAGTTATTGCAAACTTTTATGTTACATATCACTGTCTTTATTTGGTTGCTCTAGGGATTTGTGACCAATTCAACTGTTTGTCTTCTAATATCTTGCAAGTAAAGGGGATGAGTGCCAAGAATTCAGTACCTATAAGCTCTGTTGACCAATGGACATTCCCATATAAGCCTGATGGAGCACGACAAGACATTTACTCCAACATATATGATATCAATATTATGGAAGCCAAGCTATTACATAACCTGCAACCTAGCATAAAGACTGCAAATAATAAAATAGACAACATCTTCAATCAGTATGTAAAATATTTGAGGGAAGCCAAGCTGAGCCAAGCCAAGCATGAGATCCTTGAGCTCCTCAGAAACAAAATAAAAAGGGGTGACTCCACCTTGAGCTGATCCAACAAAATCTTATTTGAGCTAAAACTCAAATGGGCTCAGCCCAGTCCTTTAATAAGAAATCTTTGCTGTACAATTCTCTTAATTTGCTACAAGATACCAAGGCTTTAAAACAAGAAGCAATCTATGCCCAGTCATATGTAGCATTGGAAATCTAAAGATAGACAAACATGAATTAATACAGCAAAGACTTTAACAAGATCATATATAGTTGCATAAGCTAGGCTCATTTTAACTTGGAAACTGGGAAAAGTGCTAAACTGAGCCAAGTCCAGGCAACTGATTGTTATTGACAGTCCAGATACCACATCCACACATCACATCAACCAACAAACATTGGCAATTCATCCATTAACAAGTTTCAGAAGTAAAGCATTTTCCAAACCATGATTCTTACCATGTCTTAGCTAATCCAATTACAATACAATTTCCAATCACAACATTGTCCATTTTGTACACCAATGACAAGTCTCATTCTTCCATGAACATCAAATTTTAAAACTTTTCAAGCAATTTAAACAAATTGGCAATCACCAAACTTTTAGAAAAATAAAATCAGATAATTCGAATATATTGTTCTTCAGGATTCAACCTTCTGGCTCATAAAAGAAAATGTATATACAGAAGAACCCTAACCTGAGGGGGCAGATTATCCCTCTGGGCCAAATCCATATTCCCCACAAAATTCGCCGTCGCACCGCCGGAATCCGAACCCGTCACCGGAATTACCTGCTGCTGCTGAGGCTCCACTGCAGGCTGCGGTTGATAGTAAAGAGTTGGCTGATTGCGGTGGGCAGCATCCAAGGGGACGCCGGGAGGGTGAATGGGGGCGGCGTCTTGATAAAACTGTGAGTATTGTTGGGAGTAAGATTCTTGAGGAGGAGGGTAATACTGGTATTGCTGTTGCTGCTGTTGTTGTCGTCCTTGATCATATTGATACTGGTGTTGATTGGTGTAGGCGTAGTAGGCGGCTGATTGATCGTACTGAGAAGGATCATACGCCTGCTGATATTGGTATTGCTGTTGGTACAGTTGCCGCTCCGCCGTGTACTCCATCGCTCTGCCGCAACTTTTCTTTCAACCAAAACAAAGAATTACATAAACAAAATAATGTCTCCGCAAGAGAAATTGAAATGGATACATACTCCTGAATTGGCGAAGGTCGTGAATATATTCTCCTAAATTGCTTATTTGTTTTCGTTAGTGCATTTTTTGGGGATATTGCATTTTGTGTCCCCGGATCTTGTTTATTGACGGCCACATACTTCGAAAATTACAATATTATTTATTATTCATTTCTCATGCCACCTTATTTTATTTTAATTTAAAATAATTATCATCTAAATCCCGAATTAATCATTCTTGATCCAAAATAAATAAAAAATAACTTTATGAAATAATTATCTTATTCAACCGAACGTGTTCAATCAAATTCTAATCCTTGGAGGGGAAAAGAGGAATTCATTCTCCAATGGGTGAAATATTTTCAAATTGTTGATAAGTATACTTTGAGTGAGATTGATGATAAATATGTTGGTATCATTATCTGCTTGGAGGACGACAAATGACGGAAGATGAAGGCAACAAAGCATCGGCTATCCCATATTTTATCATGATATATAATATAATTATTATTCAGATTTAACGGGAAAAAAAATTACTAGTACTACTACTAGTTTAGACTTTAGAAATGGAACCAAAAGAATATGTATTTTCAGTTTGCAGTTAGCAACTTCTTCAAATTTGTATGAGGGATGAGCCCTCTTTTGGCGCCTCTTTGGTCCATCGCATGGCTCCTGCATGATGAACGAGCCGTTTCCTGTACAAGAACGCAGTTACATGCCCATCTCATTGGTTTCTCAAACGAAGGAATGGCCGCAACACCAGGGGCATTCAGACCAATTCTTGGCCTAAAAAGTACATATATAACAGGATCATGAAGGGGTTTCACAAAAACAGAAACTCCCAATCAGTGCCATCCGTCATTCCCCCAACTCCCTTCCGCGCAGCAAAATGGGGTGATGATAGTGTATACACAACAATCACCGGAACACACCTCAAAGCTTGATTTCGTGTAGGTCTTCCCTGGAATTAGTGCCAGCATATGACGATAAAGGCATAACTAGGGCTTCTCCTAGAGGTTTTACTTCCCTTGTCTCGGAAAGATTGGAAGCATCATTCAGGTTTCCGCTCCAGGATGCTGTACGTCGAGAGTTGCTGTCTTCTAGTGCTGCTACCCTTTTGTGCACGATATTATCCACACTAGGAAACCGCTGCATAGTCACTGATGATGATGATGATAGTGATACTGATGCGGATGCTGATGTTGAGAATGATGGTACTGGAGATGATGAATCTTGATTAAAAGATGGTGGACCTTCATCGGTCAGGACTGCTTCCTGAATGTTTTCCCCAGTGTTTTTAACCATCTCTTCAGTAGGTGTAACAGGAGAAGGGATGAAAAACTTGGGACTAGAACCGGAAACAGGTTTGGCAGATGGAATAGAAGGTGACTGGAATAAATTTACAGGGCTTCCCCGACTCTTGTTGAATGTGTCAACGTACCTGAAATAATTTTAAAAAGTTTGATTAAAGGAGAAAATTTAAGTTAAAACATAGACTAACAACTAATGATAATTAAATTAGTACAAGAAAGAGAACACTGAGACAGCCACAACCTAAGGAGAATAAGCATTCAAGTACTGACAGGTGAATGCCCCAACCTTCCGCACCCCACAGGGAGAGAGTGCTCATAACAACCTAATAAGTTAATTAATGCTAATACCTTGAGCGAACACCCATACGTGCACGAACAGAATACTGGTTTGAACTGGGTGGAATTGGAGGAATTCCTGAGCTCTGATCAGAAGATAAAGGGCTTTTATTATCACTATTTGTGTGAAGGCTTTCGATTTTGGGTGAATCTTTTATACTGAGGTCATTCATGCCATTCTGGAAAGCTGCACTCGTGGGTGGAGGTGGCAAGGCTGCTTCCTCAGCTGGAGGTTCGGCTCCTTCCTCAACCCATCTCTTGAGCTTTTCATCATAATAGAATTTGTTCGTCTCACCCAGTTTAGCCTGCATGTTCAACATGGCGTGCAGCAGAAGCTCAATTTGAATTAAGAAAATATTTTGTATAAAAAATCATCTTTAGAAATTTAGCTCACTGCAAACTACCTGATGATGTGGCCGCGATTTTAGGACCAAACCAAAGGTCTTTTGGAACAGCTGTGAGCCAAATCGACCAAAACGAGATGACCCACTGGACACTGCTGCTTTTTCTTGTGTCCCTGATGAGTTAGTTTCATTGGATGAATTAACCTTATCAAAAAGAAAAAACCACCCATAAGATCACAGCCTTTTGTTGCACCATTTGTCCCAAGGAATAGAAAAAAATACAGATGTTGGGAAGAGTGAGAAACTCTTCTTTACACGCCAATTAAAAGAGAACTCATGTGTGTGTGTAAAGAACTTCAATCCACAGCTTTTTAAGCAGTTACCTTTCTGTTGCTATGACCAAAGTCTGGCTCAGAGATACTTCTACCAGTCATTGTCGATAGGTCGGTCTGACCTGTCCATTCACTAATAGGTTCCATTGATGCAGAAGGCAATAGTGACATCACCATTGTTGACTCCACTGATGCAGAAGACATTAGTGATGGCATGGTCATTGTTGATTCCACTGATGCAGAAGGCATTAGTGATGGAATGGCCATTATTGATTCCACTGATGCAGAAGGCATTAGTGATGGCATGGCCATTGTTGATGCCATTGATGCTGAAGACATTAGTGATTGCACAGCTATTGTCGGTTGACTGTTAGATGCCTTTGAGCCCGCTGGGTGCTGGGGAAACTCATTTCCATGAACACTGCTATGCAATGTTGAGGGCGGAGGTGGAGGTTGGCCTCCAACAACACGTTGAGCAGTATTATCAAAGAATGTGAGCAATTTACCAACCAGTTTGTTTGGAGTCAAATTTGTATTGTAACCACCCTGTACATTAAATTGACTTTTTTATTCTATAAAGAAGAAAGATTATATGATCTAATGACGAAGAGATACCTGCTGGTGGATTCTTAATCGTTCCTCAAGAGATGATATTAATTGTCTCCAAGTCTCCACTTCGGGTGCTCGGCCAGTTTTCGAAGACTTCAAAATGGCTTGACAGTATCTGAACCAACATATCATGCAAAAGAAATAAGGCTCAACCTAAATTAGAGACAACCATCAGGCTATATACTATAAGTACCTCAGACTTACTTCAAAGAATCAGCCACTTTTCCAACTTCAGCCAGCATGTAAGCATAAATAAGCTTATATGGCTGAAACGGTAGGAGGAGATACTGAGAATTTCCTAGCACCTTCGAGTATTCATACAGTTCTGTCCTCTGCCCAGATATTAAACGGCTAGTTAAGTGGTGCTACTACGAAAGGTGGAGATAAAATAAATGCAAAACATTATAGTTGGTCAAAATTCAAATTAGTAACTACTTCACAAGAACCAAAAAGAAGGTTACTAGTTCTAAAATACAAAACATTTGCATGCCAGAGACAACAAGAGAGAGACTTAAATCAAGATTAGCTGTCAGTAAGTATTAAAAGCCTACAATAAATAAAGGTCAACTGCTGCATCACTATTTGAATGGTTCTATCAATATCAGATGAAAGGGTAACGCTTAGATACCTGAATAGCCTCGGGACTAGCATACGTTCGTGGACAATTCCAATGATCAGCGCCAATAAGACAAAGTCTTGCACCATCTGAATATGGCTCAAAGTTGGTTTCTGCAACTAAATAGCATATGTGCGCAGCAGCAACCTGTGCAATTCGTTTTGAGGACAATGAGAAATTATTCTAATGAATGCAGAGAAAGGAGCAAAAAGAAAGGAGATAGAATGACTTAACCCACTAAGACCTGTATGTAACCTACCTCAGCCCTCTCCTTCCACAAGCAATCTCCAAGATGAATAATAACAAGCTCATCATCTTTTGTTCTGTTAGCTGTTATGATGGCTAAGTTCTCTTCCCATCCATCCAACATATTAGCTCCAATCTGTAGGACACATATACATCTGAACAAGCTGAGAAAGATAGTTGAAAAACTCTAAGAAAGCAACAGGCAAAAATACAAAAAGGAGAATGATCTTTTCAATGCAAGAGCTCAAATCATATACACCTGTCCAGGCCGGTTGGCAGTATTTACATAACCAGGGAGATTGCTACTGGGGGAAACTGTGGAAAACACATCTGCAGGTTGGCCTGCAATTAGTAGGCATAATGTCCGCAATGGTGATCCAGCTTTTAATTGCTTGAGTGCCATTAGCTTCACAGTATCACCATAAAACTGCATGCATTTGTAATTTCAATTATCAGAAAGAAGAAATCAAGCCTCAAATCCTAGTAGGTCAATTCAATACCAATAAAAAGTAGATCAACCATGGTCCATTCTGAACACATACAATAGAACAATAAACATAAGTGAAATGTGATCGCAAGAACCTGATCACCAAGCTGAGATGCAATAACAAGAGCTGGTCCCCACAGTTGACCTTCCTGTGCGAATTCTAACGCTTCTTTCTTTCTACCAGAGACAAGAAGCTTCTGTACCTCAAGAGCAGTAGCCTGAACCAATAATAGATGCCTATTAAGGAAATATCAATGAAAATTTTTTGAGAAAAAAGCACGACAAATAAAATTATTAGAAGAAAGCCGAAAGGGTAGGCTATCCATACCTGCATCTGTGCTTCTGAGGGCAAGTTCTGCAAGCAGTGCATGAGAGCACCATATGCACTTGATTGCACTCCCTTCCCTTTCACAGACCCTAAAAGCTTAGCAATGGCTAGCTCTGGGTAATCGCTTTCCTAAGGTTAAATGAAAAGGATAGAAAAGCAGAAAAGAAGAACAGAGGGTCAGAGCTCTGTATTATGTCCATGAGATAGTTGCTAAATTTGAGGTCTTGCTGTGGAAAATGGAAGGAAATCAAATGATTGAGTTAAACTTATATTTCTGTCTTAAAAAGGACCCAAAAGCTCAAATTAGTGAAGCACGACAAACCATATTAGTAGGGAAAAACCATCATAATTATATAACTGCAGAGAGCAGTAAATTGAATTAAAAAAAGAGTGTACAAGAATTCAAGAAAGTAAATTAAGGAAACCAGGTTAATTAATAATGTCATTCCAGTCAACCTGATATAAACAGAAAAGCAGAAAAAACAATCACAGTAACATTGCAAAGGGAATTTATTGAGCAGTAATTCACCTTCAAAGTTTGGTCAGTGCCAAAAGGAGACCGAAGTTTTCCATAGTACTGACATGAAATTTTCAGTAAAGAAAAAAGCAACCTCAAAACTTCTCCTCTGTAGCCCATGCTTGAAGATTCACAGTTCGCAATCCTTTCATCAATCCACTTATACAACTCTTTATTTCCAATATTCCCACCAACCAAAGGACCAGGGAAGGATTGCTGGCACAATGTCTGAAAGTAATCATTAGCACCAAATCCAAAGCTAGAAGCATCACTGTTGTCGTTGACAACTTCCATCAAATTTAGAACATTGATCACATCTGCTACAGAGCCCTTCACAGGAAAAAAACACTAGCTTGATGTCTACAGTAGCAGCACAAAGATTGTAACAAAGCGGAAACTTGAACTACCTAAATCAAGCAAGAAAAGAACATGACCTACCTGGTTTCCATACACTGAGGTTGTGTGAGACAAACTGTTGTTTTTCATGACAACAAGTTTTCCACCAAATCCAAATGTAACTAGAGCATGGGGAGGGCGTCCAGCAGAAGACCTTCCCTCATTTGGTGAAGAATAAAATGAAGTGCTAGTTTGAAGTGGCTGTTGAGGATGATTTCCTGATTTCTGAGCATCAATGAAAGCAGGTCTGAACTGCATTTGTTGGTCTGATAGAAAAGTTGTCTGATTGTTAAACTGCGTATAACTCTGCGCTGGAATAAAGCTTTGAAACCTAGAGACCTCAGCACGGTGAGAAAAAGTCTGACTTAGCTGTTCATAAGGAGCAACTGATCTAGAAGGTTCAAATCCATTTTGTTGCTCTGCATGATTATCTACAAGAGCCACAGGACTATAAAGGTTTCCTAATTGCTTGGTTTCAGAAGAAACTTCTGTTCCTCTCTTGGAAACTGAGTAAGCTTGGAAACTATTCGAATTTTGCTGATGGTAGTTGCTTGCAGATTCACCCTGATTCATAACATGGTCTTGACTACCTAAAGCTTGAGACTCATAGCTTTCAGTATTATTGTTTTGATATTGCTGATTATGATCTATGGTCGCTGACTGATCTACAGCTGGAGTGTAAGACTCCAACATCTTCCATTCTTGGGCGATTGTATCATAGTACCAACCAGGGTACTGGGGATCAAACACCATATGTGCAGGGTACTCTGCATTTCCTTGTGAAATCTGATTCCGGTTAGAGGCGTTGGAATTCCCAATATCCTCAGCTAAAGTTCCCATAACAGACTGAGCTGTTTGCTGCAAAGAATATGTGTCCATTTTTTGATTTGAAATAAGATCGGGACTAGCTGAATGTGACACACCCAAACTCTCCTCTGAATTCATGGTTGCATTCACATCATATCCCTCCACCTGATACCATTGCCCAGTATTTAGGTCATATCTCCATCCAGGGTAAAGATTTTCCCAGTTCTGACTGTTGCACAAATCTTGCCCATCGACATTTTCTTTTGATCCCACACCATAGTATTGAACATCATTATTTTGCAGATAGCTAGAAGAAGTCAGATCAGAAACTGAATTCCCTGATACACCAGCTGTAGTGTTAGATTTCATTGCTGAATCATCCTTAATCCCCACGTCAGCAAAAGGGTCTTCAGAATCATCCCCCAAATCATTAAAAATTTCCGAGTATGTCCTAAATCCACCACTACTGTGAACATTTGTACCAGAGTTAAACGAGCTCCACTGAACCTCTTTCACACCAGTACCCGAAGCTACACCACTCTTACTGGTTTCACCATCCAATACGCACTCCTCTCCGAACCCAATTTCACTACACTCCTTCACGTTACTAGGTGCCACTGAACTGCTCTCATTAGCAGCCACAGTATCCTCATTAGCATCCAATAATGCCGAATCACCACCATCTTCTCCACCCTTTTCTACTTCTAAACCAAAATCAGCATCCTTCCCATCAGAATCAACTCCAGCAGGGCTGGTTTCACTAATAGTCAAATTAGAAAAAGCTTTTACTTCCTGCGAATCAGTAGCTTCGACTACAAAATTTCGGCTGGATCCAGTAAAATCAAAGTCGTCATCATTGACCAACTTGTCAAAAAAATCCTCATCCAACTGATCCTCCACTTCAAATGGAGGAGATGCCATCTAACAATCAAAACCCTAAACTCTTCCTATTAATTCTCCCCTTCACAATTCCACTCCCCTCCTATAAACTCACCAGCATTCTATTCACCGTATAAATATAAAATACCGCTTACAGAAATCCAAAACAACCAAATCCCATTTAATACCTGCCGAAAAAAATCCAAAACACATGACCTGAATTAGTGATTTGGGTTTTTGAAAGACTTCTTTTCTGCTTAAACGAATCCCAGTAAAAAAAAAAAAGAACTAGTTGAATTCCCAGTTAAAACAAGAAAAACAGTCAATAAATAAAACCCAATGAGGGAAAAACTCGAAAGGAAACAGAAGTGCGAGAGAGAGAAAGAGAGAGAGAGAGTTACCTTGGCCGATAGAAATAGAACTGGCAGAGAAGAGAGCGGCAGAAGATTAAAAGAGAGATTGAAGACAAAAAGTGGATTTTGGCGCAGACAGATTGCCTCCCCCCTTAAAAACACTAAATTAATTTCGCCAAATAATTATACTCTTTTACTTCCGTGTGCAAGACTTTTTGGCTGCACGTGACGGCCCTGCATTGACCAAAATTTTTCGTTTGTATAATAAACAAAAATATAGGTTGTAGGTGACAGTTTCATTTTAGGTAAGACCCTTGATTTTATTTTTATTTTTTAAAATTTTAATTATTAAGTTTTAGATAAAATATTTTTATTTTAAATTTTTAATTAAAATTATATGAAAAATCACTAATTTTTAAAATAAATACTTCTTTTTAAAAAAAATTTCATTAGACATATAAATTTATTCCTGTTAATTTGATAACATAAAAATATTTAAAAAATAATTTTATTTTTTATCAAGTTAAAAAAAATTATTATATAAATTTATTTATTAATTATAAAAAAAGGAGCCTTGATCAAGATCAAGCTCCACCCAACGGAGCACTGGAGTTCCCTTGCTGGGGGGCGCAATCGAGGCTCTTAATGGAACACTGGAGCTCTTTTAGGGAGCTTAATCAAAGCTCTCAATAGAACATTGATCCGGTGCTCTTCATGGGTAGTTGGTGCTTGCAAGGATGTGGATTGTAACCCTAAGAAAAAGAAAACACTAGAAAAAAGAAAAAAAAAGTATTTTATATATTTTATATTTAATATTAATGTCATATTTGAACAAAGTATTTATTTAAAAATTAATGTATCTTTATATAATTTCGATTAAAATTAAAAAATAAAGATATTTTACTTTTAATTTTAATTTTTAGATAAATTATTATGAAGTTGCTTATTTTGGTTGCAATGGGTGATTTATGCATACCTAAAACCAAAAAAAAAAATAATGCGTAAAAAATGTTGATTTATTGGAAAGAAATTGATTGACCTTTGTGTTAATGGTGGAAATCTAACAATTATGTTACTGATTATTTCATTGATTTTGTTATTAACCACTAATCATCACATTGTTGCCCTATGAGAGAGTTGACATTTTGAGTTAAGTAATGAATTTCCAAGTGTTCTCAACCATATTATTTCATTAATTTAATTGTTTATTAGTAAAAGTTAATTATATATAAAAGATAATTAATGTTTCAACTACATGTTATTAAAATTTCATAATATTGATGAGTTAGAATTCTTATTTAAAAATTGTATAAATTTTATTAATATTTTTAATGAAAATCATTTAATACAATTAAAATTCTTATACATTTGCAATTAGATAAATTTTATTGATATTAACAATAAATTTTTTTAGTATGATAATTTGGGTGTATGATGACAAATATGACCATTTTTTCCCTATATTATAGATTATATATATAGATATGGAATTTTCTACTCTAATTAGTTATTGTGTTCCACTAGGACACAAATCTTTTACAAGAGTATCTTTTAAAAGATATGATATGTTAATGGACAAACGTTATTGGCTAGTTTAAAGCCAAGTGATCACGCCAACATAGAAAAAACTATTAAATCTAATTAAATTAACGAGTGGTTCAAAGATAATATTAATTAAAAAACATTTTATAAAATTAATTAATGTACATGCTTGTTGCATGACTATATCGTTTTTGTTTTCTCAAAATATTGGGCCATGCAGCTGAGGCCTAGTTTGCATGGGCTAGTAGCTTTCTATATTGGGACCGATGGCCTATAGTCGTGGCGTGGGCATCTATATTTAAGCGAGTTCATCTAGCATATGTGCCAAGGTGTCCAAAGAAAGCGCCCAGGCCCAATTTGTTTTAATAAAAATTTTGAGATTTTGCTTAAAAATGTTTAAATGATAATTAAAATTTTAAATAGAAATTTACAAGAATAATACTTTAAAAAAATTAAATAAGTTATTATTTTTTTAATATGTGCAATCAAGTTTTTATACTTTTATTTTTAGTCAAATAAATCATTCTCATTAACAGTTACTTAATTATTATTAATCAAAATATTATTTATCATTTGATATCATGTAATATGTTGACATATCATAATAGATGTTGATGTAGTATGATGATATATTTATGTGATATTTTTATTTTTAATTATAAGATTTTATTTAATTAAAAATAAAAATATAAAAATTTAATTAATAATAAAAAATAAAAAATTTTAAATAATTAAAAAAATTAAAAACATTATGCCAAACTCGCACTACGATATATACCTTTTTTCCTCAATGTTTATTACATATATATTTACCATATGAAAGATGGTCGGATAATTTGGTAATTCTACTAAATAAAATTAATGGTATAATATCTTTTGAGAGTAAATTTTATTTACGAGAAATTAATTAAAATATAAAATAACGCGAAAAAGGCTACATAAATGTATATGTAAGTAAAGTACAGGTATAAGCGGATAAATGGACTCTTGAAATAGAAAAAGAAAAATAGAAGGAAGAGGTGGCTGACGCTTGGGGCTCTATGCAAAAGTCAATGCCCATGTTGCAAGTTCATCTCGGCAGGTTAGTCAGAACTAAAGACGGAAAGGACATGAAGCCAACTCCCGTTAGGTTCTGCTTTCCTTTCATAAAAAAGGCAGGGCACAAAAAATTGAGTGATATTATTGAGAAATAGACAGAACATAGGAGAATTTTGTATACTAATTTATTAATTAAATTTATATAATAATATGTGTATAATAATTTATTAAAAAATTTCATTGAAGTTATAATTATAATCAAATAATTCACGAAATAAGATTTCAAGTCTAAACTTTTTCACATCTTGAGTCTCTCGTCCGCGAGATTTCCTTAATGAACAACTCTAATTATAACAATATATAACTGTAATTTTACCATCCATTGAATGTAGGCATTTTTTTTTATTTTGAAATTAATATATTCGCATGTTGTGAAAATGGAGCAAGCTGTTGTTGGAAAGTTGGTAAAAGAGCTGTTACAAACATGGAAGTGTATATACTAGTAAAATGATTGTTGAACAAACCTTGGTTTTGACCACACCCATTGCCTCTCCTCTCCTCTCCCTCCCTCTGCTTAAAAACCAATCACAGTTTCATTTTCCGTATTCTGATATCTAATACTTAGAATAATGTTGGGATTCTGTTCATCATATGCTCGTGAGCAGTAGCTTTGACTGGCATTTGCAACCTCTACCACATGAACATAAAAGCTCAGCAAAGACATAAATCAAGGGAAGAGTATCAGACACGATCACTTTAATAACAACTCTTGATAAAAGATATTGTCAGTATAATAATCCTGTCTCGATCAATTCTCAATTAAGAAATAGATCCATGGCAAAGTAGGTAAAGCAAGTTGGGTAACAAAATCCAGGGTCGGGGGTAGTTTTTAATTGTTAAAGAAGGAGGACAAGGGCAAGTCGGTAGCCTAACTTCCAAGCCCATAGAGTAATGAGTAGGCGTGATTTACCAGTGCCGGTGAATGTTCAGAAATTTCCCCCATCTCTGCTTTTCTCCACCATAGCTTCTCCTTGTAAAATTAGTAAGGGAAAACTGGGGAACTGATTATCCCGAGCATTTTTTTTTCAAAGTTTTTCAAAGGGAGTAAAGAACCACACTAAACCGACCATTGCGACCTACAACTTTAGTGCATTGTGACCTTTTAACGAGGAATTTGTCAGGTTGACAATTATGTAATTTCTGGTCTACAGCAACCGTTGCTGGAAAGAAAAACAATTGATCCCACACTTTTTCCTTCACTTGGAAATTACATTTTCTGTAGTTGTCGAGTCCGTAAGACACTGCCAGGAATTTGCTAGACTATCACTACGCTTCGAGCCTTTTTCTGAACAAGAGGAAAAGGACAAGATCAAGCTTATGGGAAAGTCAGCTGTCAATGGAATTTCTTCCTTGTATCATTTGTAAAAGCACAGTCAAATTTCAAGGGCAGTGATATCTGGTTTATCTGCAGCCGACGTATTAATAAGACGTGAAGAAAAATTAAAAGCAAAGCGCTAAGGGGATGGAAAAATCAAAAAGTTGAGTCAAGACTTTTTGCTATGTAATGTAACCTAACGTGCAGGAAAAGATACATGCTTTTTTCCTTCTTTAGCTCCATAATTTGATGAGGAAGAAGACTGCACTTGAATTGTTTTCAAAAGGAATGGGGAATAAACTAAGCAAACTAAACACTCTTTCATTTGCACACTTAATCCTCAAAGCATCTTTTAGTTTCATTTTGTGGTCCGAAAATTCTTTTTCCTTTTCTTTTATGAGGGTTGTCAAGTTTCTTTGGCATCTTAAATAGTTTGAGAAATAGAAAGAAGAAAGAGGAATTGGAATTCTATTCTTTGAACGGAATTTTACATAAATCAAAAGAACAGTGAAGCTGGAAACCAGCTGCCAAAAAAGCAGATCCCAAGGGGCTTACCTAGCTAGACAGCAACATAAGTTACTAAGTACCGGTCACAGGTTGCCCATTTCTCGTGGGTGCAAACCCAACACGTGCCTTTGCTTGATCCAGGGTTAATGGATTTCATGGGACCATATATATATATATATATATATATATATATGGGAATATGGAAGTGAAATCAAAAGACAAAAGAAAAGAAGGCAATTTGAGTTGATGGGTTTGTTTTTCCTGTTTGCCGTGACCAGGTTGGAGAGATCACATGTGAGACACACAACCACTGCTTTGGTAGTGTGAGGTCTTCGAGTGTGTATGACTTAAGGGAAGGGGCATGAAATCATGGTGTTTGTAGCGTGACCCAAAGAAAAAAATTGTCCATTGAAAGTAGAATTCTCCTGTGCAACCAATAAAATATGTAGCAGTAAATTGTTTACAAACAATTAAAGATAACTCAAAAGGAAGGACAGGAAACAGAAATGTGTGGAAGATTGAATCCCACAAAAAGGAGTTTGGAGGATAAGCTGTCGTTGTTGGATCACATTTGAGTGAGAAGACACTGTCTGGTTACATCACAAGCCTAACGTTGAAATGTTAATACACTGCCTCTGCGAGTTAAAAGAAGAACAAAGATGAAGAAAACTCTAGAGCTTTTCCTGCAATTCCCAATGGGAACATTGGCAGGTGGAATCTTTGGGGT